ATATATATAAATATTAACATTTTGATTATTTGGGCTTATAATTGATATGTGCGGCCTGTTGGACTTATGGACTTGGGCTTTGTAATTGATATGTCCAAATTTCAATCCTCTTCTACTCTTCTTGACTAGATATGATGTGATTATATTAACACTTGTTTTAAATTTTACATTTCTTTGGATTATTGTTAATTTTATAATTTTATTATTTTTATTAGGCAAAACTAGATATGATGTAATTATGTTGTTATGTTGATCATGCTTAGAAAAAACTTATTAATTTTTATTTGACCGGGTGTTGACCGAAGGTTGACCGGGGGTTGACCGGGGTTGACCGAAAGTTGACCGGGGCCGGGGCCGGGGACTGTGTGTATAAACCGGGGTCGGGGCCGGGGATTGCAAACCCCGCCCCATCCCCGCCCCGTTGCCATCCCTGTTTATATGTCATAATGATGTATATAACAAATTTTAGAAAATCCAAGAAGTTGATTAACATGTTTTGAAATGTTCAAGGACTTATTTTTTTCAAAAAATTGCCCAAAGACTTAATCATTCCAAACACTAAAGTTCATTGAGTTTTTTTAGACTTTTCCCTTAGTTTTATAGGTCATAATGATGTATATAACAGGTTTTAGAAAGTCCAAGAAGTTGTTTAACAGGTTTTGAAATGCCCAATGACTTATTTGTTCCAAAAATTTGTCAAAAAACTTAATCATTCCAAATATTAAAGTCCATTGGTTTTTTTTAGACTTTTTTCCATAAATAATCATGTGTTATAAAAGCATAGTACGATAACTTGTTTGTCGTTACTCTCACAAGACTCAAATGCATTTATGTTATGGTAAATAAATATTTAAGATATCAAATAATAAAACATCGCTAAATAAGTTGATATGAATGAAACTATATTTTAATTCTATTTTGTGAAACAAAGAGCGTACCTAACTAGTTTTAACTTTTAATAAAATGAAATGGTTACTGTATTCATTTCGAATTCCTATAAAATACAACGTTTTTATTTATCAATCAAATATATAATTTATTTATCCATGGTTATTAAAAAAGACTATTGATATTAATTTTAGTTTATTTTTTATCTTAATTATATTAAAAACGTAAAAATAAAATTATACTTATTTTGTTTTATAGATAATAAAATATTTAATTTAATTATTATATATATATTTTAAAAATATTAATTAATCAGGACGTGTGAGTTAGGGGCCGTAAACACTTACCTGGTAAGCACTTACCGCTAAAATTTAACACTATCGCTTACTTATCGGGCAAGATTTTATTGACTAAAACGCATTGTATGCAACTATTTATCCCGGTAAGCGCTAATCATGGTAAGAGTTTTTGTTCTCACTTACCGGGTAAGACTTGAGATTCTTGCTTTCGCTTTTACCGGGTATGATTCTTAGTCTTTGTCATATTCATCCGATAAAGTAAATTGACTTGGTAAGCGCTTACTCGGATAAGCGGTTGGTAAACGGCACCTTAAACCATTATTTATTTATTTATATTATATGTAATGATTATTTAAAATCATAAATAATAAATTTTTTCTAAAATTTATTTTTAACAAATTCAAATATTATAAATATTTATAATAATCAATTTGAAATTCTTTTGATCGGTATGTTATATCTTTTAATTTTTTTTTTCCGAATTCTCGAGGACCTCAATGATACGGGGCCCCTGTCGGACTCGTTCTGGGATCGTGACAAGTCTTTACTACTAGCAATTACTTCCTCTTCTCAACCTAGAGATGAAAGAAGTAAGAGCCCCCTCTTGTCACAAAATAGTAAATTAGGTTCAGTTGGAAAAACAGCTATAAATGACCACTACGAACGAAGGATGCAAGCTAGAGTTGGAGGTGGGACTTGTTGGCATAATGCAAGCTGGAACATGGGTTGCTTTCCCTATGTCATAGTCCTTATTTGAAATACGAGGCCCAAAACCCTATACGGGGCAGTGAGAGGACTGTACTCAGGGTTCCAAACCTCCAGTGAGTGAACGATTATGTCATCGAGGTTTTCCTCGGGGGACAATTCTCTCCCCGTTTCCCTGATCCAACGGGAAGACTCTCTCGAGAGTTTCTCAAGGATCCCCTCAACGCCAGGCGGAGCGCTTTCCGCATTTAACATGTTATTTTTATTAAATAATATAATTTATTATTAAAGATTTGTTTCGATTATATTTTAAAATATTATGATTAATTAATTTTTCAAAACATTTTTTTTCCATTAAGATCAGGCGAGGCCTCTCCAGCGGAGCTGGATGTCGGGGCCCTGGCTGCACTAGCGATTGGCACATAGGGGAGTGGTTGCCTGGCTTTCTCGGCCTGGTATTATGCATCCCGCGTTCATGATATCTACATTCAACTGTGCCCCAGAGACATAAGCGAAGCACGCCCGTCTAATGTGCTTCTTTCACAAGATGTTTTGGTCTCGGGTGTTTTCCAATGGTCTTTTAGGGTGCGTTTGGTATGCAGACGACATGGGACGGGACGGAACAAAAAAAAAACAGTCCCATGTTTGGAATGCCATGGACAGAAAATGCATAGGACAAGATGAGACTATTTTTAAATTTAATGAGACAAAACTTGATAATTTTTGTTCTACAAAAAAAGGTGGAACAACATGGGACTAAATATAAAATGACTATGTTACCCTTTTATTTTTGACTTTTCTTCTTGATATAACATTGATATAAAATAACATTGAACAACATTTAGGGGTAATATGGTCATTTTAACAGTTTTGTCCTGTTATGTCCTAGTCGTACCAGACATAGGACAGACAATTAGTCTTGTCCCGTCCCGTTCTGTCCTGTCCCGTCTAGTCTGTGTACCAAACGCTACCTTAGAGTCGTGTCCGTCCCGGATATCTGCAACGCCCTTCCTGCCTCTTTTTTTTTTTTTACATTCTTACAACTAATTTTATTATTTATTCCCATCAAATGACTTATTAGTGCAACCGCTCGTACTGGCCGCTAGATTAATCTCTACTGTGCGGACGCGTAACATCATAGCCGATCCTTCTTAACTCGCTAGCCATCTCCTTGTGTGAAATGTTTTCAGTGCAGACGAAAACAATTCCCGCCTCTCGAAACCCTTAATTTTGACTGATCAGAGAATTTCTCCGATGGACTCTGGAGAGAGCAGCGAAGAAAGTCCGGCACAAGCTAAGAAAGGAAAATCGAAAACTCCTCGGAAACCTAAAGCAAGTGTTCTCAAGCAGAGTCAGTATCTCTCTTATTCAACCAATATAACACGAGATCGCATTAATTGTACTCTAATTTGTTCTTTTGGTGCTTTTCAGAATCTCCGGCAGAGTTCTTTGCTGAGAACAAGAACATTGCTGGATTCGACAATGTGAGTTCTATTCGTAACTCTATATATGTTTATTTTTGTTATAACTTTTAAGTTTAACTTTCTTTGATGTGAATATCGTGATATACAAATTCTAGTTGAAATGCTCAAATTGAAGTTGTTCCGAGCTCATTTGGCTGAAAATATGGAAATTGTAAAACATCAAACGGGATTGTAGTTTTGCATTTGGCTTTGTTGTGCATGGCTTTATTGATACCGGGAGTGTGTTAAAAAATGTGATTTCGTGTTTTATATCGTATGGAAATTAAATGAAGAAGTTGTGTTTGTTTGAATGAATATCAGCCTGGGAAATCTCTTTACACCACTGTGAGAGAGCTTGTTGAAAATGCACTTGATTCTGCAGAGTCCATTGCCGAGCTTCCATTCGTTGAAGTAACAATGTGAGTGCCTAAGTTGTCTTTGTAAATACATGTTTATGTATGTTGTTTCATGATATGAACACATAACCATGCACTTTAGTTTCATTGATCATATTGCTTTGGTATTACAGTGAGGAGATTAATAGAACCGCATTCAATTCCATGATTGGTCTTATTGACCGGGAGCGAATTGATGAGGCACTATATGGTGACTTTGAGACAGCCAAGGCTCGTGAGGTTTGTACTCTAGTAGTATAACTTTTCCAACATTGAATTAGTTGACGACTTGATGTTCACAGTGGGAATGTTACATTTTTTAGTTGCCTTATGTATCAATCCAAGAGATCATTTTTAACCTTTTCCCATTTTAAATTAGTGTTTATATTAATTTACACATTTTAAAGATTAGAGTGAGATGAGGCCATTTTCATGACGGACAAGCTGATGGTGGTTTTGGAGGCCTGGAAGAAAGAAGATTCAACCAAAGGGCCTTTGGCCTAGCCGTATGTGAGTCTTTGGCCTAGCCGTATGTGAGTCTTTGGCCTCGTAGGAGGTCAGGGGTTCAAACCTCAACAAATGTGAGGAGAGTGTGTGAGTTTATTTTGTCCTATTTTATCGTATATAAATATTATATACTTAAAAAAGAAAAAGATTCAGGATCATCTGTTTCATTCTTATGTTTGAAGTACTGTACAAGCATATTATATTACATCCAATTTAGGGGTTAGTGAGACTACAGAAGGGTACACAAAAATATCGAGATCGTTATCATTTCAAATTGAAAATTATTTCAGCTGAATCATATTCAAATTAGTGAATAATTTTGAAAAACTAACCATAAGCTTTCACAGCTGTTAACAGTTGGAAATTGTCTCAACCTACTTTCTTATTAATTTGTCCTCTTTTCTTCTGCTTCTTGTTCTACTACTAGAAACGGCTTGCCAAAGAAGCTCGTTTTCAAGAAACTCAGGCCAAAAATGCTGCTCTTGGGAAGAAAGTAAAAGAACCGACTTCTGGAAAGGCCATCAAGGGTCGAGGTGAGGCCTCATTTTACAGGGTGACTTGTAAGGTGTGACATATTTCTGTTTCAACTTTTTACTATTGTGATTATTCAGTTTTTATGATAATTTCATCTTAGGCCCATAAAACTTTCGGTTGGTTTAGACTGACAACCTACCTTTTAAAATTTTTGTAGGATAATGGGAGAGGAATGCCCCATGATGATATACCAAATATGTTTGGACGAGGTTTAGTTATCTACTTTTCTGCTGATTGATATACAGTATTCAATAATACTGCATATTCACAATGTCTTTTAACATGGCACACAGTTTCTATTTGTGAGTCATGTACTATTGTGATGTTACTTTTTTAAGATACAAATATCATGCAGTTTTATCTGGGACAAAGTATGGGCTGAAGCAAACACGTGGAAAATTTGGACTTGGTGCAAAAATGGTATGTACGGCATGAGTAGTTCAATGCATACATAAACCATTTTTGTTATTGCAAATCTACGTACTTGTGCATGTATGCATATAATATGGTCATCTATTCTTATTGGCAGTAGGACATTCTATTTAAGTCTGTAAAAAGATAGATCATCTAAAATTGTTTTTTAAGGTTCAGGGCATCTTTATAGCTTAAGTTCCTTCCTCTTTCTGGTTAGAATGAAAGAATTTTTACTCTGATGGAAATGATATTTGTTAAAGCTATACATGTTTCTTTCAGGCGTTGATTTGGTCAAAGATGAGTACAGGATTACCTATTGAGATATCATCATCAATGAAGAATCAAAATTACACTTCATTCTGCAGGCTGGATATAGATATTCATCGGTATTGTTCTACCCTCTGGAGGGTTGCTCATAAAAGGCTGATCAGAAGTTATTAAATTAGTTACATAGGACGATAATCAAATGAGAGCCACAATAAGGTTACAAACCTGTGAGAACCGATATAAAATTATCTTTTCATATTAGTTTTTTTGATCAAAAGCTATGATTTAACATATTGTTTCACATATGTTTGTGTTCACCTTATGAAAAAAATGCATGTGGAACATTTTTTTGATTTACTTAGTGAAACAAAAAATACACATATATCCATATGGTGAAACAAATACATGTGGAACTATCACATTATGAAAAATTGAAGTAATATCTTAAATCCTAGCATTTGATGAAAAAAAATCATGCAACAATTTATTTTTAAATCGGTTCTCACGGGGTTTGTAACCTTTTTGTGGTTCTCATTTGATTTAACCCCTAGTTACATATGTAGCATATATATATATATATATATATATATATATATATATATATTCTGTTAGTGTTGAAAATGGTGCTCTTGTCTTTTGATTCTATTCTTCCATGTTCAGAAACATTCCCCACATCCATTTACATGAAAAGAGAGATGACAAGGAGCATTGGCATGGAGCTGAAATCCAAGTTGTAATTGAGGGAAACTGGACAACATATCGTGTATGTATCAGGTCTTAGCTGTAGTATAGTTCAAACAATCAGACCAGAGGATGTATATGATGTATCTCAATTATGTTGAGACAACGTGGCTCTCTATAGTTACTTGAACCATGAGCCACATTATGTTGTCATCTCCTAACTATCGTTTTCTTTGGTGTTTGCAGTCAAAGATATTGCATTATATGCGTCAAATGGCTGTTATTACACCGTATGCCCAATTCATGTTTCGATTTATATCAAACACATCAGAGTACTTTCTCTCTCTCTCTCTGTTTCCCACCCCTCACCTTGCCACCCCAAGAAAATTTCAACAATTTGTTCGTCCTTTCTCACTTTCATTGATTACATCGGGTACCATGTTACTTACCATGTCAATGATGCTATCTTCCTTTCAATGCTTGAAGTAAAAATGTCAGCATAAGGTTTGCGAGAAGGACAGATGTAATGCCTGCAGTTCCTCTTGAAACAAAGTACCATCCATCAGCTGTAGACTTGCTACTCATCAAGCGCCTAATTGGTGAAACTTCAAAGCTGAACCTTTTGCAATTTCTTCAGCATGAATTTGTTAACATTGGGAAGTCACATGCTGAACGATTAATCGGTATGGAATTTTCACTCCACGCTTATGTATGATGATGCAAGTTAGACAGCCAAAAAGTGATCCTACAAGTCACACATATAAGAACACATGGACACTTAAGTTATGAAGCTTAATCTTTATAAATGAGAAGTATCATCTGACATAACGATTTGTAACGTTCCTATCTCCATGCTAAAACTATACCAGAGCTTTAACTATAATTTTGTTGAGTTCTTCACAAAGTTGCATAGGCTGTATGTTTAGAGTGTTTAGTTTAGGTTCTTGGGTTAATGTTTCACGTAAACCATTGTAGTTGATGCTCTATGACAGAAAAGCTAGCCTGGTTGAGCAAGTATAGCCAGTAACCAAGGCCTTTGTTAAAATCAAGAGAGATATTGGAGCATATGCATTTAAGTGTGAGCTGAAACCTCATAAATTAAAAGTACAGCACAGTTGAAGCCTATTCAACATGTCTGCATCAGTCCTTAGTAAAAGGTTCTTCAGTCACTATTCAGTATTCACTTCATGTAGGTGCTAACTGCTGTGCCTTTTCCATGTCAAACTTTTGTATAGTAAAAGAGTTGTGGTAAAATATCCAAATAGTTTATCCATGAAACTGGTTGTTTGTAGTTCTGCTAGTGGGTTAGAGGTACCAGACATATGGCATATGGATAAGAACTGCGTTGAAAATAGAACAAAAGAGCCGATAGAAAGTATCAAACAAACGAAGGTTCTACTTCTTTCTTAAAAAGGATTCGCTAGGCTGCTAGCCACATGCATTTGCTTAAGCATACACTGGAAGTTTCTTATCTAAGATTAATAGAAACCAGAAGCATAAACAAAGGCATGACCACCCGTGAAAAACTGAAGCTCTGTTCCATTTTTTTGATAGGGTTGAAATACGCATTGCGGTGCTATAGCGGTGAAATAGCGGTTAGCTGTCCTAGGGGAAATAGCGGTTCCGCTAATAACGGCGCTAATAACTGCAATTGGGCCGAAATTTTGGCTTGCAATAGTAGTCTGAAAACCGCAATTAGGAGTTGGGCTTTAAGTTGGCCTTTTAAAAGGTTTAGAGAAGTCGATTAAGGGATTACGAGCTAGGGGGCTGATTTTCATTTGCAACATTGGTGTGTAAACTCGCTATTCCTCTCTCATCTCTTCTATTCTAGTCTATAATTTATTCCGAAGAAATAGCTTAGTAGCCACATTAGCAGCGTTTGGGATGATTGTAGGTGCGGCGTATTCCCTTTGGCTATATCACCGTGTGGTTTCCTGGAATTTAAAACCGGATTTCCTCCATAAATTCTCCGATCTAAATGGCAGAGAAGTTTTCATGTTTATACCTTTTCTTGTTGTTGTCTGAAGGAAGAAGAAAGTCAACCTTGTAGAAAAGCAGATAGGAGAGGTAGCCTATAGACTCAAGCGACGAGCTCGGTGAAAAYTCACCCCGTATTCCATGTGAGTCTGTTGATTTCAATTAGACCAGACCGAACCAGAGAGGAACGTGCCCACGAGGGCACCACCAGATGTTGTAGATGAACCTACTAAAGACGAAATTGAGTATATCATAGCTGACGCACCATGGGCTAACCCCTACACCCACTGCACGAGTGGAATATTACTTAGTCAAGTAGAAAAGAACAAGGTCTTATGGCACAGTCACTATATCATTTCTTTTCTTTCTCTCCTCTATGGAAAGAAAGAGGGGATGATACCTGGTGTGGTATACCTAATCGTTTAGTCAACGAGATGTACTTAAGTCGACATAGCCACTTGAGGAGGTCAATCTTAAGTTGTTGGAAGCTACTGCTAAGGTACTCCCCCTCATCTATAAAGGATAGGCAATTGAGAGAAAATAGGACGATAGCGATAGACACAGGAACTGATAGATTCAAAGACGACTTCCGTAGAGGAGAGGGGAAACCTGCTTAGATAGGATGATAGCCCGGTTTTGATTGAATATCCTTTCYTGTGCTTGTCTTGTATTGAGGTATACCGGGAAGATATGAGTAAAAGTAGGTAACAGAAGAGGAGGGATCACTGTTTTTTATTACTGAGGTAAGCAACTTTCATTTTGCATCTTCTCTTCGCAACAACATTGTCTTCCAACATTGATTGCTCATCTCTTCTATTCACATGTTCTTATGTTAATCTTCAAATTATATATTATGTTATGCATCTATTCGTACTTTTATATATAATTGTAATGATTACATGAACCACTATATCTGGATCGTTATACCACCGCTTTACCATCGTGATAACCGCTATATCAAATCACGGTCCTGACCGCTATTTCAAAATTTGACCGCTGTAACAGCATAGGCTGTTAGCTACGAGTCTCAAACCTACAACCACTGAAATTTGGAGTTTTCTAAATGGCTGGTTATGCACTTTTGTTGCCACTTTACCTTAAATTGCTGGAGGTCAGTAATCTTAGTGGCAATCTAACCGGCAGTTTTTTCTGTTGGTTTAATGCCAACTACATGATATAATGCTTTTTCTTGCATATTCTATGCATGCTATAAGATGTTAATTTTCATTTATCTTGCTAGTTGCATGACCATGGGTAATATGGTTTTGGAAATGGTAAATTCTTGTGCCGATTATAGTTTTAGCTGTTTTTTTTATCAATTCCATTTATTAACTTCTACTTTTTGTTACTGTTTGCAGTGACTATTAATGATTGCTCCCTTTAGATTGTTTGAAAGTGATTTTATCATGTTACAGGAGAAATGGGTCCGGATTTCAGCTCCAAAACACCAGTTAAGTCACTGACCTCACAGCAAATTGTTCGCATCCATCAGTTGTTTCGACAAGCCAAGTTTGATGATCCTAGTGGTGATGTAAGATGCTCTTCATTGTTTAATTTACCTCAAAAAATGAAGTTATTTAATCTAGAAGTTTTTAGTTGGTTTACTATTTTTTATGCTCTAAATAAATTTTGGTTGTTGAAAGTTCATATCATATTGCTCCTTTTGTAGTGTCTTAGTCCTGCAGGAGAGTACAACCTCCGCCTGGGTATAATAAAGGAACTCAACCCAGACATGGTTGCGACATATACTGCAAGGTAATATTTGTACCTGGAATATCTGGTTCTTCAGTTGACCTATTATGCATAAAATGTCCGAAACTAGTAGGAGATTGAAAACATTAGGACTACTGTCAAAATTCAGTGCTCAAGTATTTGAAGGACACCCATTCATTGTGGAAGCTGGAGTTAGTCTGGGAGGAAAAGATGTCAAACAAGTAAGTTTGTTTCTTTCCGTCATGAGTCCTCATTTGCATCACAGCAATCTAAATTAAGCATTTCCTACTTTGAGTTTTAGTGTGGTCCTTAATATTTTATTATGTACGGGAAGGGCAAGGGGGAAATGATTACAGTTACATATCTCATATCAAGATCAATCATAGCAGCAGCTAACTGGCTTATTATGTAGATAATAAATGCATATGTGAATCTAAATGCTCAAACTTGGCTTAAGCACATATATGATAGACACTGACCTGAAGATGTTCTCTCATGTTAGATTCTGGAGCTATGTTCTCTTTGGTGGATACAATAATTTGAATTCTTATGTGGTGTCATACCTTGTATTTTCTTGAAAACAGAGATATCGCCTATATCAATCCAGTAGAACTATGGGTCTCCATCTAACTTATTCTTTTTCATGGTCGTCGTAATACTTGAAGAATGTGAACTTAGAATTTACAATAAGGCAATAGATTGATTGAGATTGAGTTTTCACCATTTGCTCTTGGCTAAGCTAGCAACTTCCGGTAACATAATTCCTTGTCTCACTATTTCTTTATTGCTCTATGTGGCTATCAAAATTGTAGGGTTTAAATATCTTCCGGTTTGCAAATCGGATTCCGCTGCTGTTTGAGCAAGGTGCTGATGTTGTCACCAGAACCGCGATGAAGAGAATCAAGTAAGACTCTTATAAGTTTTAATGTTTCTGCTTCACTTGTGGGGTTACTTTGAAGGGGAGGTTGGGTATTCTTATCAGTCCGTTTGTTTTATCTATTTTCTTTTAGATGATGGTTATGTGTTGGGGCTTGTCATGATATTCCCATTTTCAACAGTACTTGTCCTGATTTTATTACCATTTTTCAGTTGGAATAGTTACAAAATAAATCAGACGCAGGATAAAATCGGCGTTTTTGTTAGCATTGTAAGCACAAAAATCCCCTTTAAAGGGACTGGAAAGGAATATATTGGAGATGACATAAGTGAGATTGCTTCTGCTGTCAAGGTGGGTGTGCCTCGATGTCAGTTTTTCCAAATTATGAAAGCTTCCTTAGGTTAATTAGCCTTTACTTTCCAGACTTCCATTAAACAGTGCTGCACCCAACTAAAGTCAAAAATCGTGAAGAGAATCCAGGCTCGTGAGCAGCAAGAGAGGAAAAGAAATTTAAGCAAGTAAGTTCAACAGATTTTATTTCTCATCATATGTATATTTCTAAAATAACTTTCTTCCATTTGAGCTAAAACAATTAGTCGATTGCTTTTTATATTGGTTGTAGGTACATCGCTGATGCTACTGGTGCTATATATGGAATTTTGAAAGAGGCATCACAGTTGCATGCAAATAAGAAGAAACGCCTGGAGATCAAGGATGAGGATGCAGAGCTACTTCAGAAGGTCTCAAGTCGTTTGATAACAAAAGAAATCCTGAGTGAAAAGCTTGCTCAGCATGTTGAGCAGGTAAGCAATTCTTTTCTACATTTTGCATAACCTACGTAATCCTAAATACTTATTTTCTATTCATGACTTGCGTTCATGTGATGAGATCACATTTTTACAAATGAAACTTCACATCAAATATGTTCCTCCCCATGTAAACATATTTTATTGTCTAGGGGGAATTACGCTTACTTGTTTTTTAGTACAAGTGGCTACAGGATTTGCTAAGATTTCCAAGGTTTAGCCAAGGCTTAGCTCAGGACCCCACTACTCGTCGTTTAGGTATTCACTTAATCTTGTTAGGTATAGGTGCTTTTCTTCTAGTATTCAAGGCGATAAATTAAGAAGTCAGAAAGTTATCAAAAAGAGAAAATAGAATTTCTTTCTTCGTCTTTACAAAAAAAATAGGACCCTTTCAATTGACATAGACCCAAGTTATCTAGTAAAATGAAAAATCCAAAATAGCCATATTTTGGATTACTCCAAATTGCCTTTCGATTCATTTGGATCTCACGCTCAATGTAAATTCCTATATCTTTATTGTACCGTATTAGTCAATTCGACTTGAAATTGTTAAGTTACATTGTGAAGGTAAAAGAAATCCGAATCTTCACAGCAAAAATACTGTGAAGGTTACTTTCACAGTGTTTTGCTATGAAGTTTCAAGTGTAGAAAAAGTGGTCTCATGGAAACAGCCTAGTCTCACGTGAACCCACGCCTTCTATTCATTCCCAATTTATTTTCTGCATGGATTGGAGAACATTTGAATTGATTTAGTTACTAGTTGCAAATTATTTCAAGGCCCCAAATTATTTTAGTTGGACTTTAGATCCCAAAACAGTTGTCCCTTTGTATAGAAAAAACTTGCAACAGAATAAACATTCTCTCTCTGACACTCCACATAGTTGCATCCTCTCACTTCAGAAAAGGAAAATATGGTAGTTTTGTGGGTGACCTGGTAGTCGTCATAGATTTATCCCTTTTTCGTGGTAACCGTGGTATCAAACCTTTGGCAAATTTTGTTATAGATGTACGTGTTTTTGTCAAATTTGGTTAAAGTTCTGGCCGTACTGGAATTTGTTCCCTTGAAGTTCTTGTCTTCGATATTTTGTAGATATCCTGGAAAAAGAAAGAAAAGTACCAAGTCCCAACAGTAACTGAAATATAATGAGGTCTTAAAACATGTAACCTTATATTGTTGTCTTTCACGGACCATACCTTTTAGCTGGTCAAAACAACAAAACAAGACCTTCGTGTTGGTCCCACATCTTTATTTTTTTGTTGTCGAAAAAGGGGGGGGGGGGGATTATAGTTCCATCTGTTATCTGTATGCTTGGTATCGTGTTGAGTAGAACAGATGGAGAAGGTTGAGTTGAGAATTCTAATGTTTTACAGGTGGATTATGAAATGGCAATGGAATACGCGACACAAAGTGGAGTGAGAGAAGAACCAAGAGAAGACATATACTTACAATCACTGGAGCCTCAAATGAACTTCGTGGATTTCCATAGTCCCGTCTTTGTCTTCAGGCTCTTCCAGTAGGTAATCTCCAGATTAAATTAACTAGAATTTATTTTTAAAGATTTTTTCCACATTACTGCATTGTATTAAACGATAAACTACCAAAGCTTGAATATAGATATAATCAATGAGATTAAACATCCTACTGATTGTTATTTCAATTTTTAATTTTCGTATTCCGATCCCAAATTTGATTAATTAGCCAAGAAAAGATATTACACATACAAATGTGTATTTTAGAGGATAATGAGATAAGTCGGTCAACTTACGGCAAGTTCAAGAAAGGTCAAATCATGTGATTCTAATCCGCCACTTTCAACTATTCATTCAACATTGGTTGCAGCATACGTTTTGCTGGACACGTGTATTACATATGATTTTGCTCTAGAATTATATGTGATTTGATTTTTCTAGCATGATTCTCAGATGTTTATAGCAACTAATACAAAACGAAGATTCTTGTGATACAAAGTCTCGTTACTAAGGGACATTTATTGAACACTACAGGGTAAGTGGTTATTGACAAGAGCACCATGCTTACCTAATTGGGTAACATTAGGGATGGTGATTTGGCCCGACCCGGTGGGGAACCCGGTTCACCCGACCCGGACGGGGACGGGGATTCCCCGCTAAAACGGGTACCGGGGCCGGGGCCGGGGATCCCCGGTAGAGGCAAACCGGGGACGGGGCCGGGGCCGGGTATTGTATCCCCCGACCCGCCCCGTACCCGGTATATATATAAATATTAAACATTTTTATTATTTGGGCTTATGTGATATATATAATTGGGCTTAAATTTATTATGGACTTGGGCTTTTACAATTTTATTGGATTATTGTTAATTTTACAATTTTATTATTTTTATTAGGTAAGACTAGATATGATGTAATTAACTAATTATCTTGTTATGTTCATCATGCTTAGAAAAAAACTTATTAATTTTAAATTGACCGGGTGTTGACCGGGTGTTGACCGGGGGTTGACCGGGGGTTGACCGGGGGTTGACCGGGGTTGACCGAAAGTTGCCCGGGGACGGGGCCGGGGCCGGGGACTATTTATATAAACCGGGGCCGGGGCCGGGGATTGCAAACCCCGCCCCATCCCCGCCCCGTTGCCATCCCTAGGTAACATTCCCGACCATCAAAATGTATTGTTGGACAAGTCTTTTTCCCCATCGGGTAAAATTCTATGTTTTAGTTATATGTCTCTTACCGGATAAAATTCTAGATTTGTTATATCCATCCGAAAGGTATGTGACACTAGGTAAATGTTTACTTGTCGTTAACTTAAAAAGTCAACATTACTGTATAAAAAATTATGAGAATTGGCCATTGGGCTCCAACCTCCAAGTTCGATCCGTAAAAAGGCACTTCTTGCTTTCCCCCTCCGTCTCCTAAGAGGTGTCCTTTATTTATTTGTTTTCTTTAGCATCAAAGATATATCCAATAGTTTATATTACTTTTTTTACCTCTAAACAAAACAGTCTTATTAATGTTGTATTATTCGTTTGTCTTTTGATTATTAATTTGATGATTAAAGTATTTTTATAAAGAAAATAACATCAGTAACATAATGATAACAAACGGGGCAATAGTTAATTTTTGGCCCAAAGCTTGTAGACTATGAAATAATGAGATCAATATTTTAAAAGGAAATTAATAAAAATAGTCATTTTTAAACTTTGATTTTATCTCCTAGTCATTTTAAAAACATCATTATCTTTGGTAACTCATTAAATTAACTTGTGAAAGGGTCAACTATAAAAAGAAGTTTTTAAACCAAGTCTACAAGTGTAGGGACCAAAAATTTCTTTTTTTAATTATAAATTTGTATAAAAAATTTATAGTTATACATTTACATTTCGATATTATATATGTAATTACTTTCCTTTTCATCAAATTAATTAACATAGATGTTAATTCAAGAAAATACATCGCAGTAACCAAAAAGAAAATAATGTCTGCAATTACTTGTTATAGATAAGTTATATATTAGATAATTTGAATAAAATTGAATAACTAATATATTTAATTAATAGAATATAAATATATAATTGATAAATATTTTGTTCAAAATAAATAATTGAATTTGGGTTATTATTATGAACAATCATTTAGAAAAAGAAGTATTACTTTTCAGTCACCTTCGATTTATTTTTTTAACAAAATAATCAAGAAACCCCAAGTCAATTTCATTGACACTTTTCCTTGTGATTTATGACATATTCCAAAACGCATCCGAATGAAAAGTGGGCCCAATGTAAACTAAATCGAGAAACCGTTGCTTGCGACACCACAAGGGCATTGCATCTTGCGTCAATAGAAATACATGCCGCAACTTGTTGCATTGGAAGAAAAGTGTCTTGCGACGTCGACTTGTAGTTTTTCGACTGTCTTATGAAAAAAATTGAAGTAAAACTTTTTAACACAAAGTTACGTATAATAACCCACTAAGAAATGTAAAATAAAAGTTTGTTTATGGGCTACCAATTGAGAGCTAAAGAACATTTACACCCTTAGAGGTGGCCAAAATAAAAAATAATGGTTACATGAATAATAAAACAAAATGTAACCAATCCTTGGACCAAACCTTTTAAAATAGTTATCAATCATAATCAATTAATTTTTTTGAATTTATATGTACATATTTAATAGATTTTTTTTAAAATAGAGAACAAAATCACATTCAACTTCAACAAATTTTCTATTTTTAATTTTTTAATATTATTATATTATTAAAATATTTTATAGTTTTATTATCATAATGCATTTTTCTAAAAACTTTATGCAAAATTAGTTTAATATTATTGATTCTTTCACCTTTCATAAAGTTTTAAAAAGTTGATTTTTTTTTGTTTTTTTATTTTAAAAGATTTATTGAAGGATACAAATTTCATTTTCTCGGTTGGTCACTTGGTTGGTTGTAAGGATCCTGGGCCTGTTCTGTTTTAACTGGTCCTAACCGGCCTCATGGACCAGAGATAACAGGGTCTTAGGCAGCCCAAATCAGGAGGAAAGCACGCCAGATTTAACTACCAACCGATCTTCTCCATCTTCCATGATTGATCACAGAGATCATAACCATCAAAATCAGCAGTATCAGTGGAAATCATCGTCGATAATGGCTCAAAAGCCACCACAAATGGCCATTATAGGGGCCGGAATCTTTGTTAAATCTCAATACATTCCTAGACTCGCCGAGATCTCAGAGCTCGTCGCTCTTAAAGCTATTTGGAGCCGTACCGAGGTAGTTGTTACGATATTCAAATCTATTGAAAATGTTAAGGGTTTTCAAAGTAATATAAGAAGACATGTTTATTGGTAATTTGGATGATATATTGAGTTGATAAAATGATGTAGAAATCGGCAAGGGAGGCTACTGAGATCGCTCGGAAAGTATTTCCTAATGTGGAGTGTAAGTGGGGAGATGATGGAATTGATGAAATTATACGGGATCCGGATGTTGTCGCGGCTGCTGTTGTTCTCTCTGGCCAAATTCAGGTTTATTTCTGTTTATTTTGCTTTGGTTTTGTGTTTGTGTGTATTTGGATAAGTATACCTCTTGGAAATGGACAATGTAGAATGCTTTCCTTCGAGCACGTATGACTATATATATTATATGCATGTATGTATCCTTCTATAAACCAAATCAAACAAACCCAATATATCTCATTCGGAACTAGGATTTGGGAGGTGTAAGATGTACTAAGACCTTATCTCAACCACTAGGATCAAGAGGTTGTATCCGTAAAGACGCATGGCTTCTGCACGATACAAAGGTGTGCGCAGAAGTATTGCAGGTTACGACTCAATTGTGTGGAAGCAGACAATGTAATAGGTAAACCAAACCAAACAGACCTAGTACATTCCACCCAGAGGTAGGGTCAGCCGCCCCGCCAGGGGACGGGGGCAGATGTACTTAGACCTTTCTTCTGGAAAACAAGACAGAGAAGATGTTTCCAAGAAGCCCCGGGCATGCAGGCCACAAATAAGCAACGAGAGTTATAAGAGAATGTAAAGAGCAGAAAATGAGAAAAAGGACGCTAGGCACAACAAGAGACTCCCTATCTCTAACAAAAGAAACCACCAACCTTGAAGATACTCCATTCCCAACCGACCCTCTAGCCTCCCATCCCCTCCCCCCAACCACACTCCTACCTGCAATCGACTACCCTAATCCATCACCTCCAAGTACTCCTATCTGAAATCATTCCCTCTGAAAGAACTAAAACCTCCATATCCAGCCTTAACTGCTCATCCCATGTCTTCCTAGGCCTGCCTCGTCTCCTCACCTCCTCGCTCATGACCCTCTCCACCCTCCTAAGAGGTTTTATACAAGTCTTATTATGGCACCTTGTTCTTTGTCTGGTAAAGGAAGACTATGGTGAATGTGAACATTTTTCTGCAGTTATCCGGCATTCATCAGCCACAAGAACATGGATACCAGAAGTTATGGCCATTTTATTTCCTTTCTTCCAGTATTAACTCAAAGTTGAAAAAATATGGCAACTTAAGTTGTATAGAAACTCAAACTTAAATGCCTTGATGCAGTGGCTTATGGTTATGGACTTACGATGAAACATGCACACTGTACTATAACCTACGTCCATCTGTAACCTTGGTTAGATATACAAAGCAAACAACTCTAACAATATAACGGTTTCTTTTTTGACCTTATGGACTTGAATTTTTATAAAACCAATTAACAAGCCAAGTTAAAGAATATATGCTCCTTGATGCGATATGATCAACTGATTAGGTTGAATTCTACTTGCAAACCATGTCATGCAGGTGGATATGTCGCTTAAACTTCTGAAGGCTGGGAAGCATGTTCTTCAAGGTGATTATTTAGTAAACTTAAGTCACAGGCTGCAGGCTCCTAAAATGAGGTGCCAATAGCTTGTATAGTTTACATTAATCTGTCCATGCAACAAACTGACATTTATCATTGTTTCGTCTGCCTTGCATATATTTTCAACGGGATCGTGTCTGTGAAGAGAAACCAGCTGCTGCTTGTAAGTAACACCCTTGTTGGAGTCCCTAATCGGCTAGTCATGGACCAACAGACTTGGATATCTGTAGGGGTCTCCCACTTTCTATAAGGGATGTTAAAAAGAGTAGGGGTTCCACATATTGTAACATGGTATCTATGTATGGCCTCCGTTTGAGGGGGCGTGTTGTGTTATGACTTAGATACAGAAATGAAAATTTATTTGCATACGATATTGAATTGAAAACAGAACCAGAAATTTATATATATACAGCAGCATATATACATGTATAATTACAGATGCATAACAACAGAGAAATAAGTTGGAATTCGATGACGAACTTGATTATGTAGATGTAATCGAAACGAAGAACAGGTGTAGATCGAGGCCTGCTTAAAGCAGTGTCTTTAGACAGAAATTCGTCCTGTGAATTGGAGGTCTATCTAGAAGATACAACAATCCATTCAAGAGAGATACTTGAACCTATCGAATCGACTATCTCCCTTATGATATCGATAGGAACAGAAGCGCCAAAACCCTAGAAAGTTTCTGTATTTTCGTCTGAGAAAAACGAGAAATAATGGGAACATTTATAGTATACCGTAACTGTCGGTTAACCGACGATAACCGTCGGACAGAGCCAAGTATTGGCTGCATATCGCTTCCTGTCACCAAGCCATCTCGCGAACGATATCAAGAGACCCCAAGAGCCCCAAGTTCCAAGGCCCTCTTGATATGTAATATGTAGTGAACCCAACTAGATAGTTAGGCATTTTAACACTAGGTATGGCCTTGATAATATTAGGCACTTGAAATCTTGAGATTGGGTATATATGGGACAAACCAAATACCCAACACCCACATCAGCTAATGATCAACCCACTTGTACATGCATGTAGGGTTCCATATGTAACGACCCTGTTGTTGCAAGATTGGTTCGTGTTGTCCCTTAACCATGTTATTGTTCTACTTCTGATTCAAGTATATATCATCTATATGGTTTAGCCCACAATTCTTCTGTAGAGGAAAATGTACCGTATTATGGTTCTCAAGATTGTTGCAATTTACTGTACAGCCTGTAGTGAGGTGGAAGCCGCATTGTCAAGCTATAGGTTTCTTTCCAACACTCCATCTGCTCAACCAATATGGGCTGTTGCAGAAAATTACCGGTTTGAGCCTGCCTTCGTAGAGGTACTTCCAGTTTTTTATACTTGGTTAGCATTTATATCAGGGGAAGACATGATCGGAGAAATCATGATTGACCTAACAGAGCAGAAAGTTGGTGTCTGAAATTGGAGACATGATGAGCGTTCAAGTTATTATTGATGGGTCTATGAACAGTTCAAATCCTTACTTCTCAAGTTCATGGAGGCGAAATTTAACCGTAAGGCATCTAAACCATGATAGTAGTGCATTTATTTGGATACGATTACATGCCACTGTACTAAGAAAATAATTATTTTGGGGCCAAATTAGTACACATACCATTCTAATTCACTTGGATTACTGGTTGGTCATAGATGAACAATTTAACATGAATGAAATGAAACACATTAGTTTCCACTTGTTATACCTGATTTGGCCAATCGTAAGTTGTGTGGAATAGTGACTATCGATGTATGTGGCAGGGAGGGTTCGTTCTAGATATGGGTGTGCATTACGTTGCAGGTTTAAGGATGGTGAGTTCCTTCTTTCTTTTTATCCCCCTTTTGCATCTTCATGAAGAAACTATGTTCTTAACTTAAGAAAATTGGTCAAGCAATCTGAAATAGCGGCCGTAATGTATTTCTGCCGTAATGTATTTCTGCTCTGTTCATAGAAATCCACTGATTTGGAAATTGAAATAGAAAAATAAGGTGAACTTGATAATCATGACTGGTATACTAACACAGTTTTCTGTATGCTGAATCAGCTTATCGGATGTGATATCACTTCTGTGTCAGCTACAACGTCTCATGTAAATATGGATGTGCCACCACCAGATATCATCTCCTCATTGTTGTAAGTTAAAGTTCTTATTCTATTAGTTTTATTTTTATCCTCTTGAAGGTTCTATTTTCTGAAGTGACTATTTGTTATTCTTGTGTCGTTAGTCAACTGGAGAATGGGTGTTCTGGAGTGTTCGTCTTGTTGGTCTCCACAAAAAATCCAAAGGTTAGACGTCACTTATGCCACAAATTCTTTGTTTGTTATCAACTGCGAATTCAGATTAATGTTGGATTAGCAACTACAGATTGTGTGGCGAGTTGTTGGCTTGAATGGGACCGTTCAAGTTGAACGTGGAAACAAAGACGGGCAACCTGGTTACGTGGTAATGCATAATTGTCTTATTCTCTTGTAACTATTAGCAATAGAAGTTCTAAACATTCATAATTGTAATGCTAGAATGGTGGTTTGTTTTCAGCTTCATAAGTAATAATATTAACATCCAATGAATCTAATTTCTGCAAATACTTCCTTTTGAATCTAATGCTTTATTACAGGTTTCTCTATTTACTGCCAACAAAGAAACGAAAAGCACTTTCTACCCATACACTGGGGTGATTGAAGAATTGAAAACTTTTCTAAGTGACGTTTCTCGGGCTTCTCTTCAGGTAGTATATCTCATATTTTCTGCAAACAGTTCTTATACCAGTAAGATATTTTCATGCAATTAGCTTATCCAGATGGATACTTGTTCAGAGTTCCATATAGAGCCAAGTAGATAACTTCAAACATCTTGGCTTTACAGGCGCTGTTCATTTTAGCCATCTAACTTCCAACATTTTCAACTGTCTCCTATGGTGTGAGGACAAATGAACATGTCATTATGCATCTCATTTACTCAATTTCAGGATAATTTAGCCTGATAAATGTGATTGAGACAAGATTCTGAATTTTTTTAACCATAAAACACCTGTTTCCATTTCCGTTGTAGGTTCAACTAACCTGCTAATAAAGGAATCATAATGTGAATACTCAAAAGCTCAAGTTTAGGGGTTGGGAAGGATTTATTCAATATCATTGTTTGGGCTGCTACCCTTGGGGGCTAGTTCTATTCTTTCTTTTTTGTGCTTTTACCGAAGGCAAGACCGGGCCTATAAGTTTTTTAGTACCACGATAAAAGAGTATTCCAAATTTTACCCATAGCACATCCATTAGTTCGCAAAGGCATCAATGCAGATGTCAATGCGTTAAATAGCTGCATTTTCCTGCATCAATGGAGGTAAATGGTGCAAATCGATAGCATAAGATTTTTTTTTCATTTTTTTTTGTTGTTAATGTAATTTCCAAGCATCTGGTCCTGGAAACTTGGAATTTGTGTGACTACTGCATATATGATACTTTTTCAACTTCTGTGCAGAAGGGTAGTACATTTGAAGCTGAACCTCGCTGCTCGTATGCCGAAGGCGCACGAGACATTGCCGTTTTGGATGCAATGCTTGAATCTGGTACAAAGCAAGGAGCATCTGTCAAAGTGAAAAACTTTAGGCAATAACTTACGCTGCTGCGCTGATAACACCAAGGGACTAATAGAAGATATGATTATGAATAATGAATTACCAGCAAATCACTTAATATTTGGATTATGAGTTATGACCAAGTTATATTGGATTTTGATGATGCCTTGCAGATGTTTAATCCTTACATATGGAATTTGGCCATTTACAGTAACAACTATTCACAGGTCAGTAATTTATGACACTAGTAGGCCCAGCAGCTTCAGTTCTAACATCTTTAACCTCTTACAGTTTCAGTCATTTTGATCTCCATATCTGCTGCATAAGCATGATCTTGTCAGTGTCTGCATATATATCTAGGATTAGGTGTGATCTGTACTGATCAGTTTACAAGATAAATCTGAACTTAGAATGGTATCTGCAGAATCTCCTGCACTCTTTCTTTCTACTGGTTCCGAAATTATACGCAGAGGAATCGGGTCGACCCGCTAAACCTAGGAGAGTTTGTAGGGTCCATGATACCAATTTCCAAATGTCTATAACTTATGTGGATTCAATTATTACCAAAATAAAATTTTAGCAAAAAAACACAGTTTTAAAAGTATTTAACTATTATATTTTTTAATTAACTAAAGGATAATTTTACTCTTTAAGTCTTAATAATAGACCGAACACATACTTTAAGAAGAACTAAAATAGAAATGTAGACATTTATTTTGAGAATATTTTTGTTGAAATAGATACTAAACTTAGGCACACTTAATCAGCATTAGCTATTTTCAAGTTAAGCAAGCAACAGCAACAAGTAGCAATAAAGAATATGTGAGAGAGGTAGGGTGATAGTTAAACAACCACACCAAACTTGATATATACAACAATTTACTGTATAAGATGTATATGTTGCTTGCTTAAGATTTATATTTAGAAGAAAAAAGGTTGTAACTTGATATGATTGGAGCTTATTTAAGATGATTAGCAAGTTTAATCAAAACTTATTTGTTTCCTAGTAAATGGTTAAAAGCATGTTAACAGAATCTAGAAACAAAATGGATTGAAACATTCAAAAGATAGTAGGTTGAGTCTAGTAGTAGGTTTTGGACCCATGAAAGCTGCACAACCATATATTTTTTTAAAATCATAGCATTTTGTTTAAATTTTAATTGGTTCTACTTACCTTTTCTATTTGGTAATATCCAATCGCATAAACTATTTTTTGTTTCAAATTAAATGTCTATATTTTTATTTTAGTTTTATCTAAAATAAATATTAATTTTAAAAATAAGTGTATAATTTCTCATTTCCATTAATCATGAAATATATAAATTAATTATTACATCTATTATCAACCATAAAACTATTATTTAATTCAACTGAAATGTAATAATTATACCTTTTTAAAATGTATGTTTTTTTTATTGAGAGGTGTGAGTAAATGATTTTTTTTTATTAACCTGGATATCAATTCGTTATGCGAACTGACTAATTCCAGGGCGATCACCTGCTTTGCAGATAGCCCGGAGTCACCGCATTTGAACCTCCGTGGCCACAAGGGTGGTGTCTGATTGGTTTGAGCTTGGCTCCAAAGGTCAAAAAGGTCCCAGCTTGACTAAATATTTTATATATTACTAGAAGAATACTCCCACAATGCAGCGAGATACATTTCGATTTTAATATTTTGTTTTATTCGTTGTCTTTGTCGATATATACGGTTTTACATGGTTTTGAGAAAAGAATAATGTATTTATTTTTGAAAAAAATATAAATTTAAAGATATCATAAAACTTTTTAAAAAAATATATCGATATTAGTATCAAATTAACTATTTAAAAATTCTCGCTTTTAATAATTTTTTAATTAATTTTTTATTATAATTTAATTTATGTTTAATAATGAAGTAATTTATTTTTGATTTAAGTATTCTGTTATGAGTCAATAATTATCTTAATTATATTTTAGATTTTCTATATTTAAAATGGATGTTTATCCTATATTTGATTATGTTTATCTGCAGTTAGTTACACAAATTTAAAAATGGAGCTTTAATAAGTTGTACTTATGCAAAATTACTTGTAATCTTGAATTTTAAGTAATATGCATCAATAAACAGTACTTCATACATAAACAATGATTTTTAAGAGTTTTTATTAAATGTTTTATAATATAGTATAGATAATGTGATATAATTAATTAAATTTGTTGTAATGAAGTTTACACATACAAGATGCGTGTGGAATAATAAGTGTTACTATTTACACTCTTTTAGTTAAGACATGATTTTAAAAAAGTTATAAAAGGTTTGACAATGATATATGTGAATACCATCTTTACTAGATATTATCTGTTTTGTTTATATTTGGACTCACAGTTTTTTGAAGCGTGTCTAATAGAAAATTTATCTAGTTTCTTATAAGACAATATTTGTTTCATTCCTCATTGATGTGAGATCTTACAATCCACCCCCCTTGGAAGCCCAACTTACTCGATGACACACTAGTCCGGTTCCTGAATCTGATATCATTTGTAACATCACATGCTGACTGTATCAGGTATTATCCACTTTGTCCTCACGGGAGATTCACGATTTTAAAATATATTTTACAAAGGATGTATCAAATCCCTTATAAAATAACGTTTGTTCCTCTTCCAACTGGTTTGACTAGTTCTTTTTATATTTTATTATATAATCATGATGACACATTTCTTTTTAGAGTTTATGAAGGTCATGTTAGAATCATGGGTATATTACAAAATCACACGTACGGACTGCAATTTTTGAGATACTTGAAAGATTGCAAACACTTTTGTTCAGGTATTAATGCGTTGGGTGTACCACAAACTTATGGTTAAGAAGTATTTTTATATGTATTTTAAATAGTGGTTCTTTTTTGTCTTTCTATTATATATATATATATATATATATATATATATATATATATATATATATATAAAGAGAGAGATGAACGATCAAATGAAAACCACCCTCATTTGTAAAAATCGTACAAACCATCCTCATACATCGATTTCATTATTTATTCTTATGAAATTTTTTCATGAAATTGTTTAATCTTGTGAAATTGTTTCATATAATATTTTTTTTTTGATGAATTTGTTTTATATATGGTTATAAAATTGTTTCATATAATATTTAATGAAATTTTAATGAAACCATTTCATGTATTTCTCTAAAATTAAAATAATGAAGATGATAATATCCATGATTAACACCTTCACAATAAAAATGGTTAATCAACCTCTAATAATTACAAAAAAAATGAACAAAATGAAAAATTATGATTAGTTGAATGAAGTTTTTACGGTTTTTACAAATTGAGTGGTTTCTATTTGAACGCTCCCCTATATATTATTTTGTATATATATATATGAGCAGGTTCAAATGAGAACACTAACTATTTAAAAAAAACAAGAAAAATATCGTTAATGTACAAAATCATATATGATTCACATACAAAATCATACATGATTCGAACGATTTTACCATGTGACTTAAGTGTTCTTAAAAGTCACCCGCTCCTATTAACCATCTTTAACTTTTGATTCTTTTTGGTGTGCAACTATTTTTATAATACAAAATGAGTTTGAAATTTTATACTTTATTTCATATATTCGAACTTTTTGAATGTACCAGTAGTTATCATTCTAATTTTACCATAACTAAAAACAGTTATATAAGCAATTAAATAAGAAAATTTAATATATAATTAAATTAAAAAAACACGTTGTATGTTGTTATAAAACACAATTCGTACAAGCTTTTAATCAAATTAATCTTTTCTATTTATTAATAATCATTATAAGTCATAAAACTCTGTGTGTTGTTGCAAGTTTTTTTTTTTTTGTATTATTTTTAAATAATAAACAATTAAATATTTATAATAATTTTATTAGTAAAAAGTAAATATGATAGAAGTTTGCATAAGTGTCCACTGGAAGGAGTCATCTAATATCATTTCGGAAGGCCAAAATTGGCAAAAACTTTTTGATTGGTTCAAATCATCACATCTTCAAGTAAATGATTTAGTGAAAGAGACTTATGGTAGGATTTTTGGGCAACTGAGACTTGGTTTTCTCATTTATTTCTCTTTTTAAAAATAGAAATTCTCCATAAATATATTTTTATTTTCCTTTTATTATGTTTAAAATGTTGGTCCCACAATATTTACTTCAAATACCATCACACCTAAATAAAAACACGACTTCCACACGATATTATGGTCATATATTGACGATAGTGATAGTAATATTATCTTTAAAAATTATTCAAGTAATTTAAATCTTAGAAAGAAAACCCATAAATTTTGTTTGGTGAACGATTTTTGGGTAATCATAGGTTTTCTGGGACAACTTACGTATGTATAATATCTAATTCCTCGGACGATTAAGAATGACTTTGGAGTCATCGTTGGTGAACCTTCATAGCCACAAGATTTTTAACAACGTTAGATTTAAATCCATGATAGATGAGACTTTTCACTACATTCCCTTAAGGAATTAATTAATAAGTTAAATACGACGCAAAGAAGTTAATTGTTCATATTCCACAGGGTTGTTAAGAGTCGATGGGTGGTTGCAACACCACACAAAAATCCTTAACAAATGGTCTGTGTTTCATAAATACTTTTAGTATGTGTCTTATTTTAAATAAATTAGTTTTTGATGTATTTGTTTTTCTATTTAAAATAAATTAGTGGAAAAAAACTAGGTCGACACTGTAACTAGTTAAATGTTTGTTGGATAAAAGTCATCACATTCACTTGTCTTACTAGATAAAATTTCTTTTATATATTTTTTAATTTTTAATTCTTTACTTAATTCAATATAAAAAAATGCAATGTTTTTAAAAGAGAAATTTAAACATAAGAAATTGAATCAGTATTGATGGTAATGGTTCTCGTAATATTTTCCCATGAAACTTTCCTCTTTACATGCGTATGGAAGTTGGTTTGAATGATCTTTCTTGGAATCCATCTAAACTGAAAGATAAAAAATTATGTTACTTAATCTTCGGCTCCCAATACCAAAATTTCAAGATTCGCCTCTGGTTGGTAAGTGATTCCTACTCGGTAAATGTTAATCAGGTAAAAATTAGTATCATCACTTACCAAGTAAGATTCTCGGTTCTTGTCATGGTAAGATAAGTGACCCAATAAACTGTTATTAGATTATGTGATAATGAACGAGTTTAGGCAATCTTTGATGGTTATTTTTATAACAAAATTTACATACACAAAGGTTAGAATCATTTAGGGGGTGTTTGGGATTGCTCATTTGAAACAACTTATGTTTTTTTACAAAAACACTTATCAACTTATTATAAGTCAGAAGAGTTTAACTTTTTCAAAAACTCCTTATTACCGGTTTGACACCGATATAAGTTGTTTAACCAAATACTTAAAAATGCTTATTATCGGTGTCACACCGGAATAAGTCAATAAATTTTTTTATAAGCATTCCCCAACACCCCTTACTCTAAATATTAATTTTTTTTATAAATAAATGAATAAAATTTAGAAATGAGTACAAAACTAATATATATACGCAAGAGGCTTCAATCTTACATGATTGAAAATTTCTCCTTTTTCCATGCATTAATTTGTCTTTTCACCTCCGAATAACCCGCAAAAATTTGCAAAAAAACCCAATGAATTCATTTGAAATTTCATAACCCTTTTCACCGCTCCTGAAAATTTCATCCGATCAAGATTCACCATGCAGCGTCCATCGCCGGAAGAATTTGCGCTCAAAGAAACCGCACCGAAAATCGCCGGATCAGGCAACTACGCCGGCGACAAGCTCACCTCCACCTATGACCTCGTTGAGCAAATGCAGTATCTCTACATTCGAGTCGTCAAAGCCAAAGAATTGCCACCAAAAGACGTCACCGGAAGTTGCGACCCCTACGTCGAAGTCAAGCTAGGAAACTACAAAGGAATCACCAAACACTTTGAAAAGAAATCAAACCCAGAATGGGATCACGTTTTTGCCTTCTCACAAGATCGAATTCAGGCCTCGTTTGTCGAAATTATCATCAAAGATAAAGATGTAGTCAAGGATGACTTCATCGGAAGAATCTTGTTTGAACTCATCGACGTCCCCAAAAGAGTCCCGCCGGACAGTCCATTGGCACCGCAGTGGTACAAATTGGAGGATAAAAAGGGGGAGAAGCTTAAACACGGCGAGATAATGCTCGCCGTCTGGAAAGGAACTCAGGCCGACGAGTGTTTCCCGGAGGCATGGCATTCCGACGCTGCCACCATCGGCCGAGAAGGGGTTTCCAAGATTCGTGGAAAAGTTTACTTGTCCCCAAAGCTTTGGTACGTTCGAGTGAACATAATCGAGTGTCAAGATTTGATTCCGAGTGATCGGAATAAGCCGATCGAGGTCTGCGTGAAAGCCGTGTTGGGGAATCAGGCTACGAGAACTCGAATTTCTTCAGTGAAGACGGCGAACCCGATTTGGAACGAAGATTTAGTTTTTGTAGCGGCCGAGCCTTTCGAAGAGGCTTTGATGTTAACGGTTCAAGATCAAGGTAACAAAGATGAGGTATTGGGGAAGTGTATGTTGCCGTTGTACTCGGTGCATCGAAGATGGGACAATAAGGCCGTTCAGTCGCAGTGGCACAACCTCGAGAAGCATCTGGTGGTCAATGGCGAGAAGAAAGACGTGAAATTCGCAAGCCGGATTCATCTACGAGTGTGTTTGGATGGCGGGTTTCATGTTTTGGACGAATCGACGAATTATAGCAGCGATCTAAGGCCCACGGCGAAGCAGATATGGAAGTCGAGCATCGGGATTTTGGAGTTGGGAATTATTAGCGCGAAAGGTTTGTCGCCGATGAAAACCCGAGACGGGCGGGCGACAACGGATGCATATTGTGTGGCGAAATACGGGAGAAAATGGGTACGAACACGAACTATTATTGATAACTTTTCGCCGAACTGGAACGAGCAATACACGTGGGAGGTTTTCGATCCATGTACTGTGATAACGATCGGTGCATTTGACAACGGGTATTTACATGGGTCGAACAAGGATTTGCGAATCGGAAAGGTGCGGATCCGGTTATCCACACTGGAGACGGAACGAGTGTATACACACTCGTACCCCCTCATTGCCTTACACCCTTCGGGTGTAAAGAAGATGGGGGAGGTACAATTGGCTGTGAGGTTTTCGTGCACATCGTATCTCAACATGTTGCACAAATACTCACAGCCAATTCTGCCCAAAATGCATTATGTCCATCCATTGTCGATGAGTCAAACCGATATGTTAAGACATCAAGCGACTCATATAGTCTCATCCAGGTTAGCCCGTGCTGAGCCACCGTTGAAGAAAGAGGTGGTCGAGTTCATGCTAGACGTCGGCTCACACTTATGGAGCGTGCGAAGGAGCAAGGCAAATTTCTTCCGGATCATGAACGTGGCAAGCGGTTTCGTAGGATTGATAAAATGGTTTGACTCAATATGCCATTGGAAAAACCCACTCACGACGATTCTAATTCACGTACTTTTTGTGATACTGATATTGTGTCCCGAGCTGATCCTGCCTACGGTTTTCTTGTACCTCTTTGTTCTTGGAATCTGGAGGTACAGATGGAAACCGAGGCATCCTCCTCATATGGATATTAGGTTATCACACGCCGATGCAGTGACCTACGACGAGTTAGATGAGGAATTCGACTCATTTCCGACTACTAAAGGATCGGATGTGGTTCGGATGCGATATGACCGGTTACGAAGTATTGGAGGTCGAATTCAGAACGTGGCGGGTGATTTGGCAACTCAGGGCGAACGGTTCCACTCGTTGTTGAGTTGGCGAGACCCAAGGGCATCCGCATTGTTTGTAACATTTTGTTTGATTGCTGCAATCGTGTTGTACGTGACACCTTTTCAAGTGGTGGCACTTCTTAGCGTGTTTTTCATGTTGAGACATCCGAGGTTTCGAACCAAACTACCCTCGATTCCCGCAAATTTCTTTCGAAGGTTGCCATCGGGTGCCGATCGTATGTTGTAGCCGAGAATATGTACTTTATCGACTATGTTGTTATTGTGTCTTCTCGTTGGTGATAGTTTGGGTACTAAATTATAATGTCTTAGAATTTGTAATCACTTCTTTTTTCTAATGTATTTAATCAAATAGATGTCAAATTTTATTTTTCGTTTTATTAAAATTTAAAGGTAAAATTATTTAATTACCTCTTTTTTAAAATCTTAAACTAATTCAAGGTCTCGACCAAAATTTATAAGACTGATCTTAGTCTGATAACCGGTTCTAGTCCTCTCGGTCCAGCCTTGGACTGCTCAGATTTTAAAAATGTTATACATGTAATTATAACTACATTTTTTTAAATTAAGCAATGAAATATAGACTAAGGGGCCATTTACCAAACGTTAACTCGGGTCGGGTAAGTGAACAACAAGTCACATTACTTTACCAGATGAATATGATAAGGATCCAGAATCTTACCCGGTAAGAGCGAGATAAGGACCAAGAGTCATACCCGGTAAGTGAGGGCGACGACTCTTACCATGGTAAACGTTTACCGGGTAAATTATTGCATATGATACCGTTTTAGTGGACTAAAATGTTACCCATTAAATAAATGATAATGTTAAACTTTACCAGTAAACGCTTACCGGGTAAATGTTTGGTAAACCACCCCTAAGTAAATACTTAGTCTATATTTCATTGGTTAAAATAATACGTACTTAGAAGTTAGAAACATCTTGATGCAAAATCGGTTCAAACACAACCGGTTCCTGGCCTTATCAGACCTTGAATTTCTGTAAAAAGGTCTCGAGCTATCAAACCGTAACCAGTCCCAATTGATTCTAGCTGGCCTAGCCCACTTTGTATTATTTTTGGAAGGTAATCTATACTATTTTATAAAACAAATTTAGCAAAAGTTTTAAAGTCTTAAAATATTAAATGACCAACATATCATTATCTATACTACCTCACTTTTTCACTTTTTCACCCCCTCCTCTTCTCACATACACTCACCCTTTTTTTTTAAATTATAATTTTAAATTTACACTTTATACCCCTATAATTAGTTAATTAATTTACTTTACGTCCTTTAATTTTAGATGTTTCATTTTAAACATTTATCAAATTAACATATATAATCGTATATCAACTAATACATATTTAAAAAATATTTTTTTATTTTAACAAGTTACACCATTATAATCGTCTCGTTAATACATTCGAAATGAGTCCAATATTGAATAGTTTTTGACTTAATTATATTATTATATATTATATATACTGTGAAAAAATAATTTTAATATTTACGATTTATACTTTTATAGTTATTTATTTATATATATACTATATATTTTGGGGGTAGGCTGTCCAAATTACACTGTATAATATGTTCTGAATTAATATGTTCTTTGGTTTTTTTTGAAATATATATATACATGTATTAATTCAACCTTAATCTGAGTTTCTGAACAAAAAAAGGGTAATAAGTTGAAATTTCATTTTAAAACCCATCTTTTTTGGTCTTTTCATGACTTATGATCTGTCAAATTTGTAGTTTTCTTTATTGATTTTGAGTGTTTATCTTAAAACTCAAGTTTCTTGATTCTTTACTCTTGGTGTAAATCGAACACATTTGTAGATTCGTTTAAATATGTTGGATTTTAAATATATTGGATTTTAAACTGTTATACAATTTTTTTCATTGATAGTCTGTAATTGGAACCATAACTCTTATTTATTCAAATTGTATTAATATGTAAAGACCAAGTGTAACCTATAACATCGTTAAATCTTATCTTATAAAACCAGTGGAACTTCAAAATCGTTAAAATTCATGGCTCCCGCCGCATTACGCGGGTACACAACTAGTAGTGTTTAAAATGGAAATCTACGTTTAACTTGCGTTATAATTGGGCCAGGCTGCAGATCTGTTTGTAAATTGTAACCCATTTGAGTGGCGGTGGTTTTGATCCAGTTATCTATAATTGTTTGCTACCGGCTTAAAACCCATTCGTAATATGTTCTCGAATGATTAAAACTGTATATAATATTAATATTACTCTATATTATTGATGGAATTAAATAAAATAATTATTTTTCTTTCTTATCATCAAGTTTTTAAAATTCTTTATATTTAAAGTTTTTTTCCATTATTCTCTATTTCAGAAAATATGTTGGAGTATTTTAGGCCGTGTTTGATACATGAGACAAAACTCACTGTCCCAAGTTTAACGCGACATGAGACAGAGACAATAACTTAGACAAGGTGGGACATCGCTAGTTGCGACCGCTGCTACCACTGGTAGCCACAATCGGCCACTAGTAGCTTTCGCCAGCCACCTCCTCCTCCACCTACATCAACCATCTCCACTACTATCGTCGTCCACCAACCACCACCGTTCGTCACCACCTCCACTACCATCGTTGGTCATCTCTACCTTCTCTACTACAACAATCTCCTCCTCCATAACCACCGTTCATTGCCACAACCATTACCACCATTGGCCACCTCACCTCCACCGTAACCACCACCACCGACTACTACCACCATTTAGCATCTTTACATCCTCTGCAACCACCATCGGTCACCAAACACCACCGTMTATCTCCACCACCACCACTACTTCCACCATATCGGCCACATAACTACTTCCTCCACCACAGTTGACAGCCACCACCACAACTATTGACCATATTCACGTCCTCTACAGCCACCATTGTCCACCAATCACCAATGTCTCTACCTCTACAACTATTGCTATTGCAACAATCTTCAATGTGGCTTAACCAATTGATAAGGATCTTCTAAACCGAATAAAACATAATTTCTTCTTTGTATGAATCGTGTTTTTTCAAACTACCATTAATTATATCAAAATTTTCATTCAAATTTGATACTATTATATATGTATGTATATGAAAATTGTGTAAAAATGTTTACAAATTAAATTATTTATCTTATTTGTGTTAGTTATAACTATTGTATGATATATAAAATCAGCAAATAATTTATGGGGGCAACTTGTCTAGTTCTGTCATGCTCAATTTTAGTCGTACCAAACACCTGACAGATATTTGTTCTGTTTGGTCATGTCCAGTCCTACCCTCCTGTCATGTCATGAACTGTTCGATCATGTCTGCATTATCTTAGAGAATAAAAACTCACTTTTTTCTATTTTACAAAAGCTGTTGTAGGTGCTCTTAATCACTAATTTAAGATAATTAATGTTATTAATTAATAGATAATCAAGAGGATAACTATCATTATTTATTAAATAAAAAATAATGTCTTCCTAAAAAAAATTCCATACATATTTTTCCTCTCTCTTTCCTCTTTATTTCTTCTCTCCTATTTCTGTATTAATATACACACACACACACATGTATACATAATGTAAACAACCTCAAGATTTTTTTTATCAAGGTGTTCATAAGTGGTAGTTTTAGATTTAGTTTATTGATTTTGTTGATGTACACAATCTATTCACAAGTTATAACAAATCTTATAGATTTAAACTGTGTTCACATATTATAATAATATTTCTAAAAAAACATTCATATTGTACATATATTCAATTATTTGTCTGCATGTATATGTTATGGAGAGAGTAAAAGTTGAGATAAAAAATAAAAAGAGAAGCAACCAGAGAAAAATAAGAAATAGAAAAGAAAGATTTTTAATATATATTAAAAAAATTATAATTTAGGGGACGTTTATCCAAATGTTTATCCAATAAGCGCTTATCAATAGGAGTCAACACTATAATTTATTTTGATGCGTAAGATTTTAGTACACCAAAACATAGCGAATGCAACAATTTACTGGGTAAGCTCTTACCTTGGTAAGAGTCTCCATCCTTACTTACCAGGTAAGACTCCCCATATTTGTCATCGCTCTTACCCGGTGAGATTTTTGGCCCTTTTCATGTTCATCAAATGAGGAAATCTATACGTTAAACACTTACCAAGTGAGTGTTTAATAAACGGCACCTTAAATTGGATCGTAAAAATATATAACTTTTTTAAAACATGTATCAATTTTTTCGAATTACAAAAAGAGATGGCATTTATTATGGTTGAGTTGGGTATTTAAGAATATAATGGTCAATTATAAAAGATCATATATCTGTTTCTCTTAGGCCGGCAGGAATTATATCTTTTTGCTTTAAAAATCAAATATTTGTTGGGAAGTAATATTTAATTAATAATCAGATATTATCGTTAATTATATACCCATGTTTCTTAAAATGGCATAACTAATCCATATTTAAAATGGCATTTAATAAACATAAAAATCTTTATGATGACAATTATTTTCTATTATACGTAATTAAATAAATATAAATTTTTGATAAACTTTTTTAAAATAAATTAGAAATAAAAGAGTTAAAATAATTTTGAAGAAAACAATCCAATTTTTTTGAATTTGTATTGTTCTGTAGCGGCTCTGTACATAAAATTATTTTTAAAATTTCAAGTTAAAAAGACGACATGATCCGTGCAAAGCAACTACACTTAAATCGTGAAAAGTATGACGATTTGGGTTAGGATCGTAATTTTAATGAATTTAAAATTACAATTCAGGTAAAATCGTAATATATAATATTTTAGGGATTTACTTACAAATGTTTTAAACTTTTGATTAAAATGGTACTGGAACAATGTTTGATCTGATTATTTACATCGAAATCAATAAGTTAAAACTCACTTTGGTTTTTACTCCCGTGGTATCTGGTGACGGTCGTCATTACTAGCCGTCGAGTCCTAAAAAATATATGTAAAATTGACTTTGTTTGACAAGTTTTCTAACAAGTCTATGTTAAAATGTATCTGATCATTAGTCACTGACTTTTGTTAAATCATGTACACAATTAAAACATTGTTTTTTAGACAAGTAAAATATTTTTAATAAAACAAAATAACTATAGAAAATGAGAATATCCGCATTATTACAAGAAGATCCTGATGTCGTAAATAAGCCGAATTGGTTCAGGATATTGAAACAATGTACTTTTCGTTGTTTTTTAGAAATACGACAAATATTATATGCATGCTTTATGAATTTGAATTACACCTCTT